GATCAATGGAATAGAATAGAGAATCCAGAAATCAACCCACACACCTACAGCCATCTGATCTTTGACAAAGGCACCAAGCCTATACACTGGGGAAGAGACTGCCTCTTCAGCAAAGGTGCTGGGATAACTGGATATCCATATGCAGGAGAATGAAACTAGACCCATACCTCTCACCATACACTAAAATCAACTCCAAATGGATTAAAGAATTAAGTACACACCCTGAGACAATAAAACTTCTTAAGGAAAACACAGGAGACACACTCCAGGAAGTAGGACTGGGCACAGACTTCATGAATATGACCCCAAAAGTATGGGCGACCATAGGAAAAATAAACAAATGGGATTATATCAAACTAAAAAGCAAAAGAAACAATTAACAGAGTTAAAAGACAACCAACAGAGGGGGAGAAAATATTTGCAAAATACACATCTGACAAAGGATTAATATCCAGAATATACAAGGAACTGAAACAACTTTACAACAAAAAAACAAGTAACCCAATTAAAAAATGCGCAAAAGAACTAAATAGGCATTTCTCAAAAGAAGATATACAAATGGCCAACAGACACATGAAAAAATGCTCAATATCACTCAGCATTCAGGAAATGCAAATCAAAACCACACTGAGATACTATCTCACCTCGGTTAGGATGGCTAATATCCAAAAGACTGTGAATGATAAATGCTGGCGAGGTTGTGGAGAAAAAGGAACTCTCATACATTGTTGGTGGAACTGCAAAATGGTGCAGCCTCTATGGAAAATGGTATGGAGGTTCCTCAAACAATTGCAGATAGATCTACCATATGACCTAGCTATCCCACTGCTGGGAATATACCCAAAGGAATGGAAATCATCAAGTCAAAGGTATACCTGTTCCCCAATGTTCATTGCAGCACTCTTTACAATAGCTAAGAGTTGGAACCAGCCCAGCTGTCCATCATCAGATGAGTGGATATGGAAAATGTGGTATATTTACACAATGGAATACTACTCTGCTATAAAAAAGAATGAAATACCGCCATTTGCAACAACATGGATGGACCTAGAGAGAATTATATTAAGTGAAAAGTCAGGCACAGAAAGAGAAATATCACATGTTCTCACTTATTTGTGGGAGCTAAAAATAAATAAATAAGTGCACAAAAAAACTAGGGTGGGGGGAAGAAGACATAACGATTACAATTCCTTGAAGTTGATACAACAAGCAAACAGAAAGGACATTGTTGGGGGGGAGGGGGGAGAGGGCGGAGGGAGGGAAGTTTCGGTAATGGGCCATAATAATCAACCACATTGTATATTGACAAAATAAAATAAAATTTGGAAGAGAAAAAAAAACAGTTGTATTTTTATACAAGCAACAAATAAATAAATATTGACACTTTAAAACAGAACATCATTTACAACTGCATCAAAAACATCAGATAGCTGAGAATAAGTCTTTTAAAAGATGTATAAGATCTTCACACAGAAAACTACAAAACATTACCAATAGAAACAAAAGACAAATAAAGGGATAAACCATATTCATGGATTGGAAGACTCAAATACTGTACAGATATCAACTATACCAAAATAGATTTATAGATTCAACATAATCCCAATTAAAATCTCAGCAGGTTTTTGGTCCTTATTCTAAAATGTATATGGAAATGCAAAGACCTAGAAAAACCAAGGCAATCCCGACAAATAGCAAAGCTGGAGGAACTACATTACTGACAGCAAGGCCTATTATAAGTTACTTATAAAGTAATTGAGACAGTGTGCTTCTGGGACATGGATAAACAAATGGCCCAATGGAACAAAGCAATGTCAAGGACCATACACATACAGTTAGCTCATTCTCAACCAAGACATCTGGAAGTGCAGTGGGGAAAGGATGGCTTTTTAATAAATGGTGTTGCATCAATTGGCTACCCATATAGAAAAAAAACAAGAGAATCTTGTCCTCTACAACACATGCTAAAATCAATTCTGAATAAATTATAACAAAATGTAAGAGCAAAAACAATATGGCTTTTAAAAGAAAATAAGAAGATATCCTCATGACCTTGCAGTAGGCAAGGACATACAAAGCACTAACCAGGAAAAATGTAATGAACTAGACTATATATTAGTCTACTCTTCTAATGATACCATTAACAGAGTGCAAAGGTGAAACAAAAGATTAAATATACATACATCCAGCAAAAGATGTGTACCCAGAAAATTTCAAGTACTTTTCAAATAAATAAGAAAAAAAATAGACCCACAGCATAGAAAAATTGGGCATAAGATTTAAACAGGTACTCCACCAAAGAGGATATCCAGATGGCCAATAAGCATGTAAAAATGTGCTGAACATTATAAGCCATTAGGGAAATGCATAATAAAATCATAATGAGATACTACCACGGAGCCACTAGAACGGCTAAAATGGAAAATTGACAATAGCGACGTTGTCAAGGACTTGCTATGAGGGTTTCAGTTGTCGTATACAACACTAGTATTGAGTTTGGGGCTATATCTATGAGAGCTGAACATCCATAAATATATAACATGGCAATTCCACTCCTAGGTATATATATCCAACAGCAATGTGTGCCTATGTGCACCAAGAGACATATAAAAGATTATTTATAGCACCATTTTTCTTAATAGCCAAAAAGTGAAAAAAAATCCAAATTTCCATTACCATTGAATAAAGTGTGACATTTATACAATGGAATATTATATAACAAAAATGAAAAAAAAATACAACTGTATACAAAAACATGGATGAATCTTATAAACATAATGCTGCACAAATGAAGGCAGATACAAAGAACACATAAGCTATTATCCCATTCATATAAAGAACAAGCACAGGCAAAATAGGCAAAATTAATAGATGGTATTAGAAGTCAAAATAGTAGTCAAGTGTGAGAATGAAGGAAGTAGTGAATGGGAGGGAGGGATGGGGTTTCTGGGATGCTGGTACTAATCTTAGTAGTGCCTATACTAATCTTAGTATAAGGCATTTTTGCTTTGTGAAATTTACTTTGTGATAATTCGCCAAACAGTACACTAATAATCTGTGCATGGTTGCCCGCTTTCTCTACTTTTTTAAAAATTAGGCAATCCTATATATGCTAATAATAAAAAGAACTCCAAAATATGTGTGTGGTTAGATGAAAAGGAAAAACTATTAAACGGTATATACAAAATGCTGACATTTTTGTAAAACAATAAAGATCAAGGACACATGTTTGTGTATAATAATCACAGTGGTAACATTTACTGAATGGTAACTACTTATTAAGGTACCATGCTAGGCACTTTACATGCATTTTGATTTACTCCTCTTAAAAACATTATGAAGTAGGTAGTATTATAACCTTTACTTTATGGATGAGAAAACTGAGGTACAAAGATAACCACATAACTTGCCTACAGTCACCCAGTCATAAAGCTGAGAAACTGGGACCGTAACCTAGGCTCTCCAGATCCACTCTTCATCATCACACTATCTCTGGAAAGATATGTAAGAAACTGGCAACAGAGGTACCTCTGAGAAGCAGACTTGGGGACTAGGAGACAGGCTGAGAGGAAGGCTGACTTATCATAGTATATTCTAGGTACCTTATGAAGGAATACATTTGCATGTCTTATCTATTACCAAAAAAGTATTTATTAAAAAATTTTTTTCTATGGTTTCTAATCTCTGAGGTACATAAAATTGCTTTATCCAGAGGATAAGCATTACACATTGTTTTATTACTTTACCTGATTTAGGATGCAAAGCATCACACTGGGCATTGTACATGTGTACAAATTCTTGGTGCCTTTTAATGAGCTGTTGTTTATTTCCTTGAACAGATAATCCATGTTCTTTTAGCTTTTTCTTTAAATCACGATCAGACAGCAAGTTATATACAGTTTTGGGCAGCAGCTTCCTTTTGTGAACAGAACTGAGAAGGTAAAAAAAAAAAAATAGATCTCTGAGGATTATTGTGAATTATCAAATGCTTTTCATGTAAAACTGTAATCTATACCTGGGTGACCGGGAGAATAGTAGAACCATTAAGATAAAAAGGGGAAAGAGAAGAAAGATAAAGTTTGCAGATGTTTACAGTGTTGGACATGATACATCTGAGGTGCTGGAGGGACACTCAGATAGAGGGGTCTAGGTGGCACCAGAAGTGAGAGACTTAGGTCTCACAAAGAGGTTAGGCCTAAAGATGCAGACTTACAAGACTTATATGGAAGGCTTGTGGATCAAATGCTACGAGAACTTCACTTATAATCATACTTACGTAGACATATGCAATTCTCTATCTCTTTAAAGGATGCTTTTCCTAATATTTGCCCATGCTTTCCATGCAAAATCCCTGTAAAGGCCAGTTATCTCAGATGATTAAAGTACAAATGCTACTGAGGATTAGGTTATGGATTTAATGGTACATTATAACATACAGATTCTTTAGGAAAAGTTCTGATCCACAGGTAAAATTTCCTCCTCAAATCCAAGGCAATCAATTTGCAATGGCAGTAGATGAATAGTTAGGATGGTTAACTTCACCCAACTCATTACCACAAAAGAATCCAGGAAGTTGATGAGTAGATATTCTTGCGGTATCATCTTCAAAGAACACAAATGAAAACAATAAAAAATACAGCAGGGGGGCTGGCCAGTTAACTCAGTTGGTTAGAGCGCAGTGTTGTAACACAGGGGTCAAGGGTTTGGGGGGGGGGGGGGGGGGGGGGAAGCACAGTGTCATCAGGCAGTCCTCCATTCAAATCTTGGGCTGGCCAGTGAGCTCAGTTGGTTGGAGCACAAGCTTATAATACCAAGGTCATGGGTTCAGAACCCCCTACCAGCCAGGGACCAAGATTTAAAAAAAAATACAGCAGGGCTTTTGTTCTCTTCAACTTCAATTATTTATGTTAATAAATATAGCATTACAAAAAGTATATTAGAAAAAACACCAACTGGATTTTCATTCTATTTACTTAATTAATATACTGATAAGCACTAAATAATTTAAAATATGACATAGCTATATTAAATTACTTTCTTCTACCCTCTCCATAAAAAAAAAAAAGTTAAAAAACATTACTTCTTAAAATGGACTAGAATGCAAGCTATCTAAAAGTATCAATGACTTAAGACAATTTCATAAACAATAACTCCTTAGTGAGTTTTAAACCATTTTATCTGAGTACAGCACGGTTCTGAGTACATTACCTGGCTCAGCTCTATGGCAAATAGGTGCTTAATAAAACATGCTCAAGGTGATCATTACAATTGCAATCATTTCAAAATGAGAATATATTTATCCAAAAACAGGATTTTGCAAAGGATTTGCATGTAACTATAGTTCATACAAGGCTATGCTTCCCAAACTTCAACATACCTCAGAATCTCCTCAAGAGCTTGTTTAAAATGTAGATTCTCAGTCTCCTTCTCCATACCACCTATCAATTCTGACTCAGGTCTGAAATGGAGACCTAAAATCTGTATCTTCAACAAGATTCCCAGGGTAAATGTGATGCCAATGGTCCAAAGGTCATACTTAGAGAAATATTACAGAAAAGTATAGACTGAAAACAACCAAACATTTTTCTGTTAACCAACAGTGCCAATCCCTGGCTAAATTATTTCTTTGATGCTCCATTAATAGAGTCTAAAAGCCAGAAATATCTACTTAACCGTGAAAAGACCTGCAAGCCCTCAACAGATTAAATTTTTCTGAAAATTGCTCTTATAATGACAGCCCATTGGACTCTCTACAAGACTTATACATGAGGGCAAAATAAAATCACAGTAGGTGGCAACAGCTGAATCATTTCGTAGGCATTTATACAAGTACACAGAGAGGGATAATTCATTAAGTCTGTATCTAAAAGATTTATTTTATCAAGGATAGATGATTAAACTTATGAGGAACTGTACTGTTCACTAGCATTTACAATGAAAAGTACCACCAGAGATCAAAAATTTCTATCGAGAATTTTAAAATATGTAGCCTCAAACATAAAAATGACATTGATTTTTCTTCCACCATGATTTACAGAAACTGAGTAATGTATTTATGTGGCTTTCAGAATCTGAGAACATCAAAAAGAGTGTATTCTTTGAATCAACTCTGATATGATTTTATACAGAATGGGTTAAGAGCTGTCACCCACATCTAGGAGATGGCCTGTCTGAATGTTGTAAAAGAGACTAAAAACACTGGCAGAAACTCTTCTATGTGGCCAGACCCAAGGACCAGGATATAACTAAAGAGAGATGTAGCTCCATGTTTCCCTAAGTGTGTTTTTCACAAACACCAGTTTTGCAAGATGTGAGTTATGAAGACAAAAAGGTTTTGGGATCAAATAAATTTAGGAATTACTGGATTAAACAAAAGCCAACAGTTACCTTTGATGTAGGACTTCTCAGAGCCTTCAACACACTAAGAGAGTGATACCTATGTAGTGCTTCTAAGTTGCACTACAGAGCAACTGGCAGGACTATAGTATTATTTGGAACGGGATTTAGAACCACTACTGGAACTTAATTACACATGGATGAGTATCTCTTTGAATAAACTGACAGCACTAAATGTGTCAGAAGTATGATAAATACATCTAGAAAAAGAGGAGTTGAACCAAGATGATTAGTGCTGATTACTCATTCTTCTAGGCTTCTATACTCCCAACTCATTTTTCAGTAAGAACATTTCTAAAGAGAAAAGCAGGTCATCAGACTGTCATGGCTTATGAGTACAGGAAATAATCTTTAGGACTATTTAGTTTCATTTATTCTACATCTCCACTAAGTAAGCAACCTAAAAACCTAAATTTTATTCTCATTAACAAACTTACCCACTAGGTGGGAGTATTGTGCATGTAAAACTACCCCAGGTTTGGACTCACGTGTGTCTCCCACCATAAATTAATAAAGCATCACTGCGCTTAGCTTTTGTAATTTATAACAGCATGAGTCTGTCCCTCAGAACCTGCATTCACTCCAAAATTACTCACAAAAATTAAGTGACATCTTTTTACCTTTAATCACAAAAAATGGTCCTGCCTTATTAACATGGTTTTTGGAAAATACTCTTCAAAGTCCTTCACAACAGATCAAACATAAGACCCAATCATCTTATTCATCCCCACTTCCCAGATACTAGTAATTTCTTCAGCTTCCTTCTTCTTCTTTTCCAAATCTCTCTGAATTATCACCTATTCTGTTCCCGTTTCCTCCTGTTTAGAAGAGTCCTTACTGCATGTCGAGGATAACCTTGCTACTTGTGCTCCCCACCTCATACCACTTATCATCTGCTCTTTTCCTGGAGATACAGGAAGAGAAGAGACTGCAGGCTTAAACGACCCCTATTTTTAATAATATAATCTTCCCTTGATCTTGCTGCTTACTCCTTCACCAAACTGCCATCTCAGGTCTTCCTCCCTTCATCACCAGACTTATCTAATTTGTAGCTTCTGCTTCCTTTCATCTTCATTAACCCCTGATTCCTTAATACGTGCCATTGAACTTTGACTAAAATTTCATTCCTGAACAACTTATATGTATAACAATCATGGATTTAAGAAATTACTGTTACTCTGATGTATAAGGGAGGCAGAATAGCACAGTAGTTTAGGTGCAAATGCTGAGCTGATGACTTATTAGTTATGTCACCCTGGTTGGGTCAGTGGGGAGGACACCACATTTCATATACACATTTCTGTGCCTTTTTTTATTATGTGCATATAATTTCCCTGTCAAAAAAACTAAACTTTTGAAAAAGCTTGATTTAAAATTTTAAAACTTCTGAGCATCCTAAGAACCAAAGAAAGATTTTATATGTTCTTTTTTTTTTTTTTTTTTTTGTCTTTTGTCTTTTTTCCGTGTCCGGCAACGGATCGCAACCCTCAGTGTTGCCCCCATACCGGACCGGGGACCGGCAACGGGATTGCAAGCCTCGGTGTTGCTCCCGCGCCTCGCTCAGCCAGCGAGCGGGAACCAGTCTGTATGTGGGATCCGAACCCTGGGGCGGGAGCGCCGCCGTGCTTCCCAAGCGGCACACTATTCAGTGCGCCACCGGGCCGGCCCAGATTTTATATGTTCTATATTCAGAGTCCAACCTTGCTTTCTTTGGCCAAAAGGCTTTATGATAGTTCTAAAACTTTAAGAGAAGAAAAGAATTTTAAAAAGAATTTAGGGCTGGCCAGTTAGCTCAGTTGGTTAGAGCATGGTGCTGGTAACATCAAGGTCCAGGGTTTGATGCCTATACTGGCCAGCTGCCAAAAATAAATAAATAAGAATTTAATTTTAAATCACTAATTTCTTATTAAGTCAAATTTTAGTAGCAGTTCGAATATTCAATATAGTTAATTGTATTTGGCAAGGAGAAGTGGAGGAAAACAAGAGGAGAAGGAATGGGAGAGTTGGCCAACAGGATTAAAGGAAAAATCAAGCAGGAGAGGGAATAACACAACTGATGATTCTGGGTAAAATGGATCCCATTTTTTTTCAAGTTTATAACATACAAGAGGCACCTAGATAAAGTAGCTCAATGATTATACTCAACTTCCTTACCTTCTGAGGCTTTCCTTCTTCTCTTCACGTGATAAACAATTGTCTAAGTGCTTATTAATGTGATTTTCTGGAATGTTAACCCCACAAACAGGACAATCCACTGTATTTTTTAAAAAGAGAAAAAGAGACTTTACTATTCATAGAAAGGGCAAAATAATATAAGTTGGCAACTTTCAGCAATTAAAATAAAAAAGAGAATCTCACTTTAACATGCACTTAGAAAAGCAGAGGTTAAAAAAAAAAAAAAAGAATAACCCATCAGGGCAACAGGAGTGGGACAGACTGGTTACCGATTAAAGGCTAAATCATGGGAAGCCACACAAATAGAATCCTGGGCCTAGCGGAAGCGACTACAGAGAAGTTTGGAACTTAGTTTATTAGAAAATGCTTTGGTTAAACTTTTCTGCCAACGTATGACCAAACTATAAAACTATAAAATTAATATTAAACATTCCCAAGTCTTAGGAGCTATCCAAGTTTAGCACAGAAGCAATCATAACAACTAGAGTAAGACATACCTGGCCCAGGGGCAGGGCAGGTGGCAGGTGCAGTCAGATGAAAGCATTTACTGGGTTGGGCTAACTACTGTTCAATTTTGTCAATGTTTACAAATTTAATTTAGCTGTCATTTGTAATTCCATATATAATATTAAAATTAGAAAATGCAATCATTCTCAAACTATTTCATGGAGTTGCAGGGATCCGTGGAGGTATCTCTGGGCCTAAAGACCACCATGGATAATAGGCAGGGGCTAAAGGGGGAAACAGGTGGAACAGCACAATCTCCAGGCCCTCCATCCTTACATTAACAAAGTAGGGCCAATTTTATCTATTTTATATTTATGGTTTGTTGTAAGATTTCATTTGGAAAAAAGTTCCGCTAAGTGAAAAAGTTAACTATCAAGCTAAAAAACACTACAGTAAGAACTGTCGATTGGTAAAAATAGTGACCGAGGAAGAGACATGCTAGGAAATGTAAGTGACGTTTACATATCCGCAAGAAATGTAAACACTTAAATAAACTAATTTCAATCTATTTAAGATTAATAAATACTAACATGCCTGCACTGTGTGTGGTATGAATATACCAAGGACATCTAAGACAGAGTTTCTGCCTAAAAGTTGCTCTGAACTTAACTGGCAAGAAAAGACAAAAATGAAAGGTTAAATAAGTTGACATATTAATCAAACAGTTAAGCAAATGGTACACAAAATAGTCAAGAAAAGAAGTAATGTAGCACTTTAGTGATGTGAGATATCAATGTTGCCTAACACAACCAAAGAATATGAGGATCTGGATAGAATCTAGAAAGGTGTAGAACAGGGGTTGGCAAACATTCTCAGTAAAGGGCAAGGTAGTACAGAATTTAGGCTGTACATGTCATATGGTCTCTGTCACAACTACGCAGCTCTGCCATTGTAGCATGAAAGCAGGCATAGACAATATGCTCACAAATGGGTGTGGCTATGTTCCAGTAAACCTTTACTTACAAAAATAGGAGGCAAGCCAGATTTGGCCTACAGGTGATAGTTTGCCCATCCCTGGGCATATTCGAGGATCAGTGGAGAGATCAGGTTGGCTAGGGCAGAATGATTTCTGAGAGGGAGCAGTGAAAAATAAGGTTGGATGGCTAGGGTAGGGATCAAATGTCAAAGGCTTTAACCACCAGGCAGAACAGCTTGGAGCCATTCAAGCAGAGGTATATTAACATAAAAAGAGCTCTTTAAGATTAAACCAAAACTGACACATTGGATGGTGGAAGGGAGGAATTAAAAGCTGAAAAATAGAAAGCTACTGCTATACTTGAAGTATAAACTTATTAAAATTATTTCATTTTTGCAGCAATTAGCCTGAATTCCTATTCTACAAGAGAGAAAGAGAGCAAACATACCTAGAAGTACTAACTACATCAACCTCTGAGATTGTGATAAGGTGAAATCTGGTTTATCCCTTCCCATTCCCTCTCCCTCAAAAATGCTGGCTATTTATTCTTATGTGGATAAGAAGATTTCCATTAAGTAAGAAAATACGCATATGAGAGTAATTTCCTACCTTTAGTAACTTGTTTCAAAGCAGATGTAGAGGGTGTCTCAGGACAACTAGCAACTGAGGAGCCTGGAGTCATCTTCTCTACAGAACGTGCCTCTTTGGTCTCTGCAGCAGTGCTTGCCTCTTTTTGAGGGCTGAATTTGCTTTCATTTTCTTTTATCATCAACTCTGATGTAGAACCACCCATTTCTCTGATCAAGAAACTGTCCATTAACCTGCTTCCCTGCTTTAAAGAATGTCTGAAGGATACAGGAGTATGTACTTTGACAGCCAGGTTCTTTGAAGAGGAAGAGGCAGGAGATATGGGTGGTGACTCTAAAGCAAACTTCAACAGATGATTCCTTGAAGCACAAAAAACACAACAGATAACTATGATATCAAGTTATATATAATAAATTAACTGACATAAGCTGTTTTCCCAATTAACACTTGTTTCTCTGAAATATAGAACTTATACCATAATAACAACCAAACCAAAGTGTTTCTTCTAGGATAAAACGTAAAGCAAAAGAACTGGCTGGTTAGCTCAGTTGGTTAGAGCATGATGCTAATGACACCAAGGACCAGGGTTCGATCATTGTACTGACCAGCTGCCAAACAAAACAAAACAAACAAAAAAAAAACCCAAAAAACATAAAGCAATAAATCTGACTCAAAAGGCAGTTGTATGACTATATAAGAAAATGAAGAAATTTCAGGTTCTAGTCATGGAGAATACCTGATAAGAGATTTACTCTGCAACCATAATAACTTTAAAATCTAGACAAAACATATAAAGAACTATTTATAGGCACTAAACTGTAATCAACACAAGGCTGCAATCCCTGAAAGAAAACATACACATAAAGCGTTCCAACATTTCCCCAAAATTTCACACTGGAAGAATTTTCTGGTAGCTGAGTATTGACTGAACTGAAGTCCAAACAGGGAACAGCAATCTGGCTGGATGGAAGGAATAGAAGTCAGAATTCTGGGCAAAGGTGGCTAGTATTGGGGGGAACACAGTGCTTGACATGTGGTAACCATAGAAAGGGTAATCATGAAGTCTGCTTAGAAATTCTCATCCATTCCTGATCAGCTCCAGGGCTGCACGAGTACAAGACAGAACCACAGAAGATGTGGTAGGAAGCAGATACTGGTAAACTGAGATTCTAAAGGTCAAATAGAAAGTTGTTGGCATTTGAGCCCAGCTAATGCTGAGAGATCTTGGTGAAGACTGTGGATATTCAGGTGAGACCTCCACAAAGGCCACATCTTACAAAAAAGGACCACACTACAAAAATATAAACAAAACTGAAACTGACCCAACTTAAAACATTAAAACGAAGGTAAAGAGCTGATAATTTAACTGCCTGTCAGGATAAAATTCTACATTTTTCAAAGGAAGATAATATACAGCTTCTCCAACATTTCATCCACAATGTTCAACACATACTTACAAATTACTAAACATACAGAAGCAAGAAAAAGTAGCCACTAATCAAGAGATAAAACATTCAATAGAAGCAGACCCAGAGGTGATCTGAAGAGTGGCATTAGAAGATAAGGACTTCAGGCCGGCACGGTGGCGCACTCAGTAGAGTGCGGCGCTTGGGAGCGCGGTGGCACTCCCGCCGAGGGTTCAGATCCCATATAGAGACTGGTCCGCTCACTGGTTGAGCACGGTGTGGGCGCGACACCAAGGGTTGCGATCCCGTTGCCAGTTGCGGTACGGGCGCAACACTGAGGGCTGCGATCCCGTTACTGGTCACGAAAAAAGACAAAAAGGAAAAAAAAAAAAAAAAGAAGATAAGGACTTCAAAAGATCTATAATAACTATGTTAAAGAAAAAAGAATAAAACAGACAATTGGATTAAAAGATAGCATTATGTGAGAGAGAGTTAATATCCATGAAAAAAAAGAATCGAATCAAATTAAAAAAAGAATCGATCTATAATCGCAAAATGCCATATCTAAACTGGATGTGTATAATAGCAGACAGTATTAATAACTTGAAGGCAAGTCAATAGGAAATATCCAAACTGAAGCACAGAGAGAAAAAAGAATAAAAAAAAAAAGTATTAGATATAGGACATAACTGGAATCCCAGAAAGAGCAAAAAGAGAGAATAATAAATAAGCAATATTAGAAAAATCAATGGCTGGGCCAGCCCGGTGGCACACTGGATAGTGAGCCGCTTGGGAAGCGCGGCGGCGCTCCCGCCCGAGGGTTCGGATCCCACATACAGAACAGTTCCCGCTCACTGGCTGAGCGAGGCGCGGGAGCAACACCGAGGGTTGCGATCCCGTTGCCGGTCACGGAAAAAGACAAAAAGACAAAAAGACAAAAAAAAAAAAAAAAAGGACTAAGAAAAATCAATGGCTGGGCCAGCCCGGTGGCACACTGGATAGTGAGCCGCTTGGGAAGCGCGGCGGCGCTCCCGCCCGAGGGTTCGGATCCCACATACAGAACAGTTCCCGCTCACTGGCTGAGCGAGGCGCGGGG